CAAATCCAATGCTTTTTCATATCATGGAATGGTTGGAAGGTAAGTTTCACATGTTATTTTTATATTTTTTAAATTCTGAACAATAATTATGCAGGGTCATATTATCTGCTGTACACTTCAATGAAAATTCAAGCAAAGTTCAGGCTACAACTCAAACAAATGAGAAACGGTATTCTATCAATTTTCCAAAACCAAAGAAAGGAGAGCACACAGAGAAATTAAAACATCCTTTACTTACAGTAAATACTATTTGCAATACTTGAAGTTGTAACCATGAGTTTACTTTCTGGACTATGTCACTGATTTAATGGAGGAAACTTTACAAAGAGTGAAAGGTGCCCCACGGTCTCCATTGCTTTTACAAGAAAATGAAACACCGCTGCCACTTTGTGATTCATATGATAAACCAGAAAAAAAGGTGCTATTGCACAGCACAAAAGTAGATTTGCACTTATAATTATCAAAAAATAATTTTTATGGGTCAGTAAATCCTGTGTACGAAGTAGAAGGAAATGTTGTCCTGATCAGGTTCACAGCATATGATTGAAGAACAACACGTACTTCGCGTCCTAACCAGCCCCAACACCATCTCACCAATTGACGATAATCTGTATATCAATACTTGCTAAAATGTAAATATAGCAAATGACACACAACTATAAATTATTCAGCTAACTCATGTAATGGGGCAATATAGCTTGCATAATGCTGTCTATATTGAAAGTACGCTGCCTGAAGAACCCAGATATTCAGACACCGAGAAGAAAATCCAGAATGCTCTGTTATGCATCTCACTTGACTATTAGTATCACCAGTGCCGCATAGTTTGTTGAGAATAGTTTGAATTTCTCTGCACAACAGACATTCTCATTGAGACTGCATAATAATGCAATGTCCACAAAGACACCTAAATTATAGAGAAATTGATAACTGTCACTGACCAAATTAAGTGCCTGAATCATGTACCATGTGCTATTTGATGTTCTGTCTTCTGTATCTTGACTTGAATCAGATTCAGAGCTGGAATCATTAGAATTAGATCCACTTTTATCACTGGCAACTGGTTCAAAGTTATATGGTGATATACCCAGACTGCTGGTGTCTTCAACAAACTCTTCATCACTGTCACTCATGCAGTAAGCCATGGCTAATGCCTCTTGTGACGTCACATAAAGCCGCGCCCACCGACTGGAAGTAAAATTGCAGGAAGCAAAAAGTGCAACATTGAAGCTCAAAATCTCAGGGAATAATTTTTTTTAACCAGAGAAAAGTTGCAGAAGGCCATTTTTTGTTATAAGCAACACATTTAGCAAATAAAAAAATACCCCAAAAAATCACTGCAGTTACATTTTAATATAAAATAACATTGTGCACATAAAGAATTTCCAATGTGCAAACAATATTTTTTGTTAATGTGAACATGCACATATTTACAACAATCATTAACAAAAGATGCGCAACATCAGCTGGCAAGCATTTAATATGCGCACAGCATTGATGGCAGCATCATTTAAATGCGCAACATCAGCCGGCAAGCATTAACTAAATAATGCGCACAGCATTGATGGCAGCATTATGCGCAACATCAGCTGGCAAGCATTTACATATCTGTAATGCGCACAGCATTGATGGCAGCATTGACATGTATGATGATCATTAATATATGTACCAAATCACTGTTTGAATGATACTACATGTATAATGAGAACTTTTATTGTTACTCTAAATTTTTCTTGTCCTTCAAAATTTGTCAGCAGCGCCCTTGATCCATAAGCACCTGATATTTGTTATAAACATGTAGTACAAGCCACAAACAAGATCAGGAATTGATAATGACAGCTTCCTCCCTTCCTAACCCTTTGTCCTACATAAATGATAGTCACACAAAATTGAATCAATTCTAAACTCTAATGAACAGTAAACCTCTTTCACACCCTCTCCCTGTCCATTATAGCAACAAGTAATCAATATTCACGGTTATACATTGATTAATCTTACATTCAGAATGCAGTTTGATCACTTTATACTGAGCAATAATGGTGGATATGCACCTGGTTTTCACACACACTCACATTGCACATGCAGTGAAATAAAAGTCACATTAAACAACCAATGTTTTAAAGATGATGGACCTCCCATTCACCATACCCACTTTCCATCAACAATCAATGGTTAAAAAATATTAATAGACTTGGAAATGATTAGTACCAACATGCTTCAAATACAAAGCAGGTGTAGTAGTATCACAAGGAATGCCATACAACTCCTGGGTTCCATATCTAGCCCAGCCAACAAA